TATATTTTTTCAATTATGACACACAATGAATCTCAAAGTTGACACATACGTGGTTCATGGTAATGAGCCATGTGAAGTTTAGTTCGAGAAAGAGACTCGTGTATCATAGTGATGGATCATGTGGAAATTAGTTTGATGTGAGATAATAACGTATTATATTAGTAATTGAAAAGAGTGAAAAATACTATTAGTAGTACGAGATTTTTGAGAAAACGACAATTGTGTTTAGTATAAAATGAACAATATAATAGCACATGAAGAATTGAAGTAGAAGTCATCTTAGAGTTTTGTAGAACACTAAACACGGCAAAATCCAATTGTAGAGTTTACACTTTCATGAAATAGTTTCACAAGTAATTGACTAAAACTTAGATAATTGAAGGTTACTTGTGGTCTTCATTTAGTGAAGTGGTTTAATTCTATTATTATATTATTCCTATTTTATCTTAGATTTGGTTAAATGATATTACTAGAATATCGAGATTTTTCGACAGACATTTTTATCAAAAAGTAGCTACGCATAGTTGTAAGGTTTTCAATACCATTCCATTAATTTTTTGGTAATCGGAAGACGTAAAATTAGATGGATAAAAAGCTAAACATCTTAAAGAAATTTTTAAACACTTTTCGATTATGATAATAAAAAAAATCGTCTATCTTTTTGTAGCCAAAATTAATAGTGGGAAAATGACGATTTTCTAATAATATGAGTCACTCTTTCAATGTAGATAACTTACAAGAAAAACACCTCATGAAGATAGAAAAAAGTACAAACCTAATTAAAGTTAATCTTGATAATGATAGAAATTAAGTGTTTAAGCTATTATTTTTAATCATAGCCTCAAAAACTAGTTCAACAAGAAAGATCAACAATATAATGTTGAATAAAGTGGTTACATATACAAATCTATTGATATTCTAGCTTCAAGGGCATGCTTGGTTTGGCCTAGCTATCAATAATTCATGGTTTGATGTGAAAGAAGCTCTAGGTAGTAGGTTTTATTTGAATTTGATATTTTAAAGCTAAAATTTGAACATTTAATTTTAAAGGAGAAAATAGCCAAATGACCCCTCAACCTATTGTTCGATTTCCAACTACACACTTTTACTTTACGGGGATCCTATTACCCCCTTGAACTACTTTAAAACGATATAAATATCACCCTAAAACTATACACCCACATTCATAACCTGAAGTGGTGGACACGCACTGCCAGCTGTCAGGCATATATAGTAATTTTTTTAAAAAAAAACTTTTTTAGATTCTTCTTTCATCTTTATTCTATTTTACCTCCTTTTTTTTTCTTTTAAAATTTGTAATCTATATATATACACACAAATTGATCCTTCAAACTATATATTTCTATAATACTTACCTTAATTAAATCTTCAATTGTTTTCTTGGCTTTATTGATTTCTTAAAATTTGAAGAAAAAAAAACTATTGTTCTTTATTGAGTTCATCGAATTTGTGCAAATCTTGGAAGTTTGTAAATGTGATTGGGTTTGGTGTATTGAAACTACACATTACTTGTTAATTGATTTCGAATTTTCGTGTGAAGATTTAAGCCAAAAATCAGAAAACCACACTGACCTACAAAGCTGTCAAAATAAAAAAAATAAAAAAATTGTGGGTTGCTGAGTTTGAATCTAAATCTGAAAATTTTCATTTTCAATTACAAATTGTAGAGACTAAATTGAATCCTTTATGGGAATCCCATTGTTGAGTTCTTGAGTTTGAAAACATCTAGATCAATTGATTTGAGTTAAAGAAAAAATTTGACAAATAAGGAGGAAATACAAATCCATGGACAACCATTATTAAAGAGCTTCGAAGCTCAAGAATAAATTTTCAAATTTGTCCGTGAGTTCATCTTTTCTGGTGATTATTTCTTCCTCATCGCCGGCTCGTTCGATGAGTTTTTCTGTCAAATATTAGGATTTATCATCTATCAGAGATGGAAATGTTGGGACTGTTATCTTCTTCTCCCATAGAAGTGAAAGGGAAAGTAGTTCCCTCCATTAAAAGGGGTAATTTTTCTTATATAAATAAATAAATAAATAAAAAGGAAAAAAAAAGAAAAATATACAATTTAATTATAATAAAAATGTTCTTTTTAATTGTTTTTTGCTTCTCAGTGAAATGTTCTCTCTATGCCATGTCAACACTTAAGGGGTTACTTGATCGGTTTTAAAGTAGTTCAAGGGGGTAATAGGACCCCCCTGTAAAGAATAAGTGTGTAGTTGGAATTCCACTCATAGCTTGAGGGGGCATTTGGATGTTTTCTCATTTTAAAGATATATATGTATATGAGAAAATCATCAAAAGAATAATAAATATTACATATTAACTTATAATTTTAAAAATATAATGAGTTTAATATAAGAAGATTAAATATCTAATTTATTAAGTTAAATGATGAATCCATCGCTGATATCAAATTGATTAAAGCATGACATTAGTGAATATTAGTAATTTATACATCTATTGGTAGTTAGTTGTGGTCTATATCACCAACAATTGTGGTAAGATGAATATAATCATTTTACTCTTAACCATAATTTCAGGTTCTAACCCTCCTGAAATGGAAACAACCCTTATAGAAAATGTTTTCTCTTTTAATGAGCCTTATGCGACAAATCTAAACTAATTAGAATAATTCAATGCTAGTACCAAATAAAAAAAAAGAAAAAAAAGTGGTAAGTGGGAACAATTACTAATAAATATTGGGAGGGACTCAAGTAAATCGAAACATATAATTTTAATACCAACAATGGAATAAAGTACAACTATAATATTGAATTAGGCATTGAAAAATAATGTCTTAAACTAATTAAAATAATTGTTCATGTGTGTGGCTCTAATGTTTTGGTCATTTTTGGAGAAACTAAAGCATTAAAAACCACATGACTTAAACCATATATATTATGATATCCACATCAAAAATAAAATTTTTAAAAATGACTTGTTGCCCATATATTCGGTGCTACTTTTATATATATATATATATATATATATATATATATATATATATATATATATATATATATTCGTCTTAATAAATATATATGATTTAAATTAATTATATACACATATTTTTATTGACCAATAGTAAGAGAAGGCCCAAGTACTTCAATATTTTTATGAACATGCATGAATGGAAAGTAATAGCCATGAATAGTTGTCAATTTTCGATTATAAGATTATAGTTGTCAATCTTGAAATTTTACTTAAATATACTAGTTAATTAGTTAACATAGCTATAGTTTGTCTTAATTACAATTCGCAACCTACTTTTAGCTATAATTATGCAACTCAACCTTTTAGTTTTGTATAATTAACACGTTTGTATAATTCAGAATTTGTATCATATAATTTGTATAATTTTTTGTAGAATTCAGAATTTGTATAAAATAATTTGTGTAACTGTTTACACTTCTGATATTTGTAATTGTATAAATTTGTTATTTCGAGTTTATACAAAAATAACTAAATTATACAAATGTACCCGCAAATTGTACAAACCTGCAAATTATACAAACCCGTGAATTATACAAACGAGACAGCTTAAACTGTAGCTACAACCCGTAAATATGCGCACTATAACTATGAAGCATAATTAAGTTTATTACAGTGGCTATTTGCGAAAATTTCCCATTTAACTTTTAATTGTAATAATTTGTGAAAAAAAATAAATAGAAAATCCATAATGAATAGAGCTGGACAAGGCCCTAACTTGATAATGAAGCCCAGCCCAGATGAGCTTTTGGGCTAATTTGATGGATAATAAATATCAATGGGCTTTGAAAGTTGTATTAGGGCCCAAGTGTGTTTTTAGAATTCCTATTTATAGAAATAGTCATAATTTATAAAGGTTTTAATTTAAAGTTTAGCCAGCTCAAAAAACTTTAGATATGCTATCTCAAAGTTGAAATGATGTGTGCGAGATGAATTATTTTTCTTCTTGATCCTCGAGTTTCAATATAATATTTCAATCAAAATCAGCTCTAATCTTTTCAAGCAACCTCAAAATTGACATATAAATTCTAACGATTACGAATATTCACAATCGTTTGCAACAACATTTAATTCAAATAAATAACGATTTTATAAAATCTGATTTTCAAATTTAAAGGTTCAATTTTTTTTAATGGTTGTGAATTGAGCCTTTTCTCTGGATCTTCTTTGCTTATAAATAAAAAAATACAAAACAGATGCATTGTGTGTTCCTAGTACATTGTGTGGGCACCAAATTAAGTATATGCTCAAATACTTCCTAAGTATAACCTGTTAAATAAGTAAATAAAAAAATAAAAAGGAAAAGAATTAGAAAAACAAAATACTAGAAGAAAACTGAATAGAAAAAAAGAAAGGATAAGTGGTATATATATATATATATATATATATATATTTGGCTTCTCAAAGAAAAAACAATTATATCCTCTAGTTAAATATATAAAACTATATAATAATATACTCAATGTATTTTACAATGGAGTATAAAGAAAATTGGGTGCACAAAAATCTTATTCCTATCTTGAGAAGTAAAGAGACTATTTCCAATTCAGCCACTCAACTTAAAAATAAACATAACAAAACAATTTGAACATAAAATACTTAAGAGAAGCATGATAAAATATTTTTTAAAAAAGAAAAAAATTCACTCATCCTTTATAAACACAAATGTACACATTTATTTAACAAATTAAAAAAATTAAGAGATAATTGATCACATAACTTCTAATTTATCCTTATTATTAATTATAATCATTTTTTTTGATAAATTTCAAAACATTATATTTATTATTAATATATATAATAAAATTATCATTACTAATTTTTTTGTGTATTCCAAATCAATACTGAACAAGTAAAACTAGGAAAATAAAGAATATACATTTCCATGTTATTATTTTGATGGATAGTTATGTCAAAATGTCATTTTCTAAAAAGATAATTACATATAATATAAAATAATAATCCCATACAAATACAAAGAATTAATAGGAGGAGTCGGTGGAGCAATTATGGGTGCTGACAAAATTTTGCCCTTTTTCGCATAAAAAAGTTAAAAATCGAAGCCCTAATTTCAGAGAAATCTTCATACTGACGAACTTTATCGATCATCAAATATAATCGCTGGTAAATTTTACGATTTTTTTAATTCATTTTTTTTAATATTGTTTCGATTTATCGATACCTATATTGATTTTTTTTCCTTCAAAATTAAACCTTTTTGAATGGATTAATGGGTTGATTTTAGAATTTATGTAGTGGGTTTCGTGGAGAATTTGATTGTAGAGCGTTTATGTTGAATTTTGAGCTGAATTTTGCTTCATGAAGGTAGATTGGGGGGGGGGGGGTTGGATTTCTTGGAGATAGAAAGAAATGTTAAATGTGCATAAATAGAGTTGAATGGATATAAGATGATTTCTATAGAGATTATTTAACTAGTTTGGGATCAAGATGTTGTTGCTGTTGTGGGGTTCGTCTAATTTAGATATTGGTTTCTAGATTTAACTTTTATGAATGAATTAATGGGTAAATTTGAGAATTTATCTAGAAAAGATGGCATTTTGAGCTGAAATTTGATTTGTGAAGGTATGTTGGGGGTTTGGATATTTCGGCAATAGAGTAGTTAAATGTGCACAAATAGAGTTGAAAGGATATAAGAGGAGTTATATAGAGATTGATTAGCTAGTTTGGGATCAAGACGTTGTTCTTGTTGTGGGATTCTTTTAAATTAGATATTGGTTTCAAGATTTAACTTATATGAATGGATTAACTGGTAAATTTGAGGATTTATCTAGAAAAGATGGCATTTTGAGGCTGAATTTGATTGTTAGAGCATTTACGTTGAATTTTGAGCTGAAATTTGATTTGTGAAGGTATATTGGGGGGTTTGGATATTTCGGCAATAGAGTTGTTAAATGTGCACAAATAGATTTGAATATATATAGCGAATTCATATGGAGATTGCTTAACTAGTTTGGGGTTGTTGAGATTTTCTTATTTAGACATTGGCTTCAAGATTTAACTTTTATGAATGGATGGGTGAATTTGAGGATTTATCTAGAAGAGGATGGTGCTTCGAGGCTGAATTTGCTTGTTAGGTCGTTCATGTTGAATATTGAGCTGAAATTTGATTTGCGAAGCTATATTGGGGGTTTGGATATTTCGGCATAGAGTTGATAAATGTACCCAAATAGAGTTGAATGGATATAGAGGATTCATATGGAGACACTTAACTAGTTTGGGATTGTAGTGTTATTCCAACTTAGATATTAGTTTTAAGATTTACCTTTATGAATGGATTAATGTGTAAGTTTGAGGATTTATCTAGAAGAGAATAGTGCTTCAAGGTTGAATTTGCTTGTTAGAGCGTTTATGTTGAATTTTGAGCTGAAATTTGATTTGTGAAGCTATATTGGGGCTCAGAATATTTCGTTAATAGTGTTGTTAAATGTACCCAAATGGAGTTGAATGGATACAGAGGATTTATATGGAGATGCTTAACTAGTTTGGGATCGAGACGTTGTTGTTGTGGAGTTCTTCTAATTTGGATATCGTTAGAAAAAATTCGTGTTAATAATTTTTTTTAATGACGAGGGAAACCCGCAGCCGCTACCCGTTGGGTGCGCACAGGGTAAAACCCCCACTCTTGAATTTTTTATTTGAATCCCGCTTATTGTGATTGAGTCGTATTTTTTCTACTCAGGGTGCCATAGTTTCGAAACCGCTGTTTTTCCATTTCATTTATTGGATGAATGCCAAATTTTTATTGTTCTTAGTTCTGATAGCAATTAAGTGTAGCATGATATCATTTCAATCCCTAATCGGGTTGTACTAATCATCCATGTCCATTCTGCTCTATTTAGGTTCATATCAGTAAATCTCCATAAAAGAGGGATAACTTTCTAGTCTGTGATTGGATGTAACTATTGGATGTAACTGTTAAGATTTTCTCAAGAAAAAATCTTTCCCTTAGTAGATCTTCAAAATAAATAATTTAACAATTCAAGGCTTGAAATTTCAGTCATAGTGACTTACCTTATAAAAAAATGGCCCAAAATTTCTGACATAGCCCACAGGGGTGATCATAATACTTGCTTTTTTTTTGTGCGTGTTTTGATCTTACCTTATTCTGTATTAATTCCGTTACTGCTCTTATTCACAAAAAATAAAAATGGGTCAGAGTATTCCTGGACTTGTTGCGTAATTTCAGTCGTGTACTGGTTCACTCTCTTTTCTCAAGGGAAAATCCTTTGCTTAAGGGTCACTGACCGACTGACTTGTAGTATTTAATAGTTTATTTGTTAAAACATAAAGTGGTCAGGTGTCCCTATGGGGACATCTGATAAAATTGGAACGATGAGGAGAAGATTAGCATGGCCCTTGTGCAAGGATGACGTAGGCAAATCAAGAAATGGTCCAGATTTTTTCCTTATAAAAAAGTGGTTTAAGTTCCATAGCTTGTGTGCCTCATGCAATTTCTTGTCCTTATCTTAAAGGATGTGAATGGATCATGGTTTGATTGGATTAGGGATTGAGGAGCTCGATTGGTTGCTGGTATATGTAGTCTGTGAAGTTTATGTTGGTCAGTATTCAGAGACGGAAAGCAGAAAATGATTTTTTCTCCAAGAATTTAGTTCTTGCTACTTTCAATCAGAAAAGGAAGATTGAGCAAGCCTAGGAGAATAGAGTTGCCCCTCCTTCTTAGACAGACGCAGTATCATTAGGCATTAATCATATATATATATATATATATATATATATATTTGTAAGTCATGTTAATATTTTAGAAGATTTCTTTCTTGGGATCTGGAGCCTCGTGTGTTTGGTGTGAGTCCATATGTTTGAAAATATACCAAGTGTGTGATGTGAGGAAATTGGACAAAATGTATAAGTATTATGTCTTACATTTGTGAACTTTGTTCTAGTCTTCTAGATAATAAAACTACAATCTTTTACGATGTGGAATACCATTACCAATATATAATCTATCTACAGATGTGACTGAACTCAACACTCTCCTCAATTTGATGCATGTATGTTGGATGTAGGCATGTAGCGAGCTTGTTGCATGTGTAACTAGTTTGAAGACGGACAAGTGTGGTAAACATGTTTGCGAGTTGATAATGACATTGCGTATTCAGTGACAATGAATTCTGGAAGTGTCTTTTTTGGGAAGTATGAGTTGGCTATGGATGGATTCAGGAGAGGTAGAAGTAGATCGAAGAAGTATTGGGAAGAAGTGATTAGACATGACTTGACATGGTTGCAGTTTACCGAGGACATGACCTTAGATAGGAAGGTGTGGAGAACATGAATTAGGGTAGAAGGTTATTAGGTAGGAGTACTTTGTCTTGTTACCCTTACTAGTTGTCGTAAGACTATTCTTGTAGTTTCATGTTCTTTGATTTTTATTACTATCTATTGTTTCGTGTAGTTCAATTGTAGTACTGTTCTGGTACTATCTGTTATTTTTGTTATTATCTATTATCTGTTGTACTTTCATTATGTCTTTTTCTAGACTGTTTTTGTCTTGAGCTTGAGGGCCTATCGAAACAGCCACTTTACCTCACCTTTGAGGTAGAGGTAAGGTTTGCGTACACTCTACCCTCCCCAAACCCCACGTTGTGGGACTACACTGGTTATGTTGTTGTTGTTACAAAGTGCAACTTAGTTTTCATAAATGAGAATCATCTGATTTTAGGTTTCTGATTTCAATTCTTGGAGTAGCTTGATTCATAAGAGTTCAAAAGATGATATTCGACTTTGGTGCTACATCTTGCTACTCAATTTTACCTCTCGGTCATCCATTCACAAGATTCTCCCGAACAAGACCACAATACCTTGAGATAGATGTGTATTACACACGGTGATCTCGCCCAACCTATATTTATAGAGAAATAAGCCATGCACATGCCCTCATAAAATGGTGCTTTTGCTAATTAGCTGATTTTATGTATCTAAGAATGCAAACAACTACATTTCAATAAGCATCACATGGTTATTTCAAAATTAACTCTTGATGCTCATAGGAAGGTGAATTTTTTTTCTCTGGGCAAAGAAAAGGCAATATTAATTTAAGTCGCAATAAGTTTGTTTCACCTGCCAACCAACCTTCTAAGTATGCTAGAATCATTAGATGCCTTCTTTGTTGAGAAGCTTGACCTTCAAATCCAATGGAGTGATTCATCTCATGTTGTCCTTGTAATATGTGAGATGTTAGAGAAGAATTTGGAGGAAATAATTTTTCAAAGAAACAACAATATACTAAGTGTAATCCTACAAAGTGGGGCTTGGGGAGGGTAGAGTGTACGCAGACCTTATTCCTACCTTGAAGGTAAGGAGGCTGATTCTTATAGACCCTATTGAAAGAAAAAAGAAGACTTGGGAAAAAGGAAGGCATGTTTTATGTCCTACACTTAGCAGTCATCATAGGTACTCTATACATTACAAATGGTACATTATTCTGATGTGGACACTATACAACATATTTTACACATGTGACAAAATGCAGCATCAATAAAGTTATTGATGAATTAAAAGGTACATGCTAATTTGTGGGCAACTGGTATGCTCTTGAATACAACTCCTCCCACTTGTTATGTTTATGCATGTGTGTAAACTTTCCCGACTTTTTAACGTATATTATTACAACAATTCAACTATACTATTTTCTGCAAATGATCCTTCCTCATTAAAGGAGTAAGCTTTCTCATTTCTTACCCAGCCTTTATTCTTTCTTTCTTAAAAATAAAATCACCAGGTAAGCTTTGCTTGTGAGGATAAGGTGGTAGATGAACCAGTAGCAATATTGTCCTTGAGATTTATGGTTGAATGGCTGTTACCTTGGAAGAACTTACTCAAGAGAACCCAACTGACAGATTTCCTTTGCTCATGGAGCAAGCAGAAAGTCGTGAGAGGAATGAACATGTTATTGATGTAGAACAAGGAAGTGGCCCCTCATCATCAGGTTCATCTGATAATGATTCTCCTCGTGAATTGGATATACCCAACCATGAAAATAGACCACCAAATCGACATTCCGTCTCTTCTTTGTCCAATGAATCAGATTCTCATAGCCCTTCTACCGCTAGGAGAGCTGAAGGTTCTGATCGTCGTTGGAGCCCATTTAATACTCTGTTGTGGCTTTCCATTGAGCTAATATTCACCCTAGGACAGATTGTTGCAGCCGTTGTTGTTTTATCCTTGTCAAAAGAGGAAAACCCAGAAACTCCATTATTTGCTTGGATTGTGGGTTATGCAACTGGATGTGCAGCAAGCCTTCCTTTACTGTACTGGCGTTATCTTCTCCGTTACCAAACCATCGGTCAGAGACCAACTCAACTGCGTCAAGATTCACCCCAAGTCAATTCCACTGCAGAGCCAAATTCTTATATTACTATCTCATTAACTCGGTCCTCGGATGAGGAAGATGGAAGGAACACACCTACAGATATTTGGACTAGGCAAAGCAATGCAAGGTAATATCTGCACATTACTCTCTTCCATGTGTTCTCTTCTTTTATCTTTTTTTTTGTTGGGCACAATTAATCCAAAAGGCAACTAAGCATGTTTAGTAATTCAGGATGGAGTCAGTTGTTGCCCTAAGAATATTAGCTAGCTTGAACGACTTTTGACCAGATGACTTTCTAGGTACAATTGCTTCATGAGTAACTTGAAATTTTAGCATTTTTTATTTGAAGGTTTTTAGCCTTTCTCCAATTCCTTTAATTATGTCATAAAAAGTGTATCCAAGAATACTTCAGTTTTTCTGTCTTCCAAATCCTTTCACAGCCATGTGGATATTCTCATGGAAATGTAGTTAGTATCTCCTCAATAGGGTTGGCAAGTGAGCGGTTTGGGCTGAATATGGACGAGTCTAAATGGCTGAATTGATAAATGGGTCATTGACCAACCCTAAGGTACTTGGGCTGAGATGGGGGTTGGGTCGAAGAAGTGCTAAATAATGAGTTCGTAATCCAACTCACCCAACTCTTACCAAGTTATAATTTTATTTTTTTATTTTCTTAAAATTTGTTTAATACTGAACAAACTAATACAGTAAATCTTTTTCTTTATCTTAGCTCTATAACATATCAAGGAAAGAAAATTAATTTAAATATTTTGACAAGGTATCTCATGGGTCAATTTAGCCTGCATACGTGGCCCATATCAGCCCATTCTTTAGATGGACTGAACTTGGGAAGTCGAGATGGGCTGAGTAATAACTGGGTGGGTCATATTTTCATGGACTAATTTTACCACCCCTACGCTTCAGTACCATGATCTTGGAATCTGTCTTATATCATTGATAGTATTATTCACCGTGCATTGATGCTTCCTTTTTCCCAGACTTGGTTCACTGGTAGATCATTTCAAGATGGCCTTGGATTGCTTCTTTGCTGTGTGGTTTGTTGTTGGCAATGTTTGGATCTTTGGGGGCCACTCGTCTTCTTCTGAGGCTCCCAATCTGTACAGGTACAATTGTTTCCTTTTTATTTATTTGTTCTTCCTTTGCTACACCGGTATCACCAAAACTAACATAAGATCCACATACTTTGCAGATTATGTATAGCTTTTCTTACCATTAGTTGCATTGGATATGCTATGCCTTTCATCTTGTGTGCGATGATATGCTGCTGCCTGCCTTGTATCATTTCAATCCTTGGTGTGCGTGAGAATATGCATGGAGTGAGAGGAGCCACAGAAGAGTCCATCAACGCTCTTCCCACACTCAAGTACAGGGTCAAGACAGATGGAACTGGCAGTAATGAAAGTAAAAATCTAGGAGAGGAGGAAGGTGGTTGTGTAGCCGCAGGCACAGAGAAGGAACGTGCCATATCAGGCGAAGATGCGGTAAGTTCATCTTTCCATTCATAGCCTTTGGGAGTTGGAAATTGAGTTTCTGGGAAACAGTCTCACAGAAAGTAGTTTTTGCTTCTTGATTTGATGTTATTTGCATCTTACCTAAGCTAAAATATTTGTATGTGTGCTATTTTAATCAATCCATTATATGCAAACCGGCTGCGTTCCCATTTTCCATGACTGCTATTTCCCCTTAGGATTAGCACTATCAAGGAGTCAATAAATGACTGTTTTAAGTACTAATTGCGTTTGATGTTGAAAATCAACATATAAAGTATTTCATGTAGTTTCTTTTTTGTGGTCATTTTTTTTTTCTTAATACCCCATGTTTTGTAGTTTTTTCTCCTTCAAGGCCGAGCAATAAATACATGTTTTTTATTATTACTTTTTTGTCTCCTTTGCTTTATTATCACTCCCTTATTATCTTGTTATTCGATTTTTATTATCATATGTTGTTTTCTTTTGCTTCCGTTATCATATTATTTGCTATTTCTACTGTTCTGTTCTTCATTATTTGCTTTAAATTACTTTATTTGAGGCGAGAGTCTTTCAGAAACAGCCTACATTCCAAGGTAGGAGTAAGGTCTATGTAGACACCACTCTCCCCATCCCTCACTTGTAAAATTACACTGGATTTTTTGTTGTTTTACTTGATCTGGTTTTGTAGAAGTTTGTTTTACTTGCCAAAAAACAGGGATACATGGAAAACAGCATTATTGGCCTGGTGAGAAAAAAATATTCACACATATTATGCTTAGTAAAAACTATCCAAAGTGCAAAGGGAAAGGAGGAGAATGAATGATCTGATTTGCCAATGTTACCAGTCAGGCATTCAGTAGACCAGGAAATATGTAACGCGTATGGAAGTTTTCAAAATACTAGAAGAGATAATGCATTTTTTCTGAAGAAGTTAGTCTTTATAGCTTAGGAAATAGCATGTGACCTTAAACTTATCATTGAGATAGTATCAGATTTCAGTTATTACTTCTTGGCATTCATGTTTCTACACAGGTGACAAACCTAATACTAATATACATGAAATAGGTTTTAGATATTGGACCACGTATTGATCATTGTTAGTTATTCACACATATCAAAACAATCAAAGAGGATATATCTAATTGTATTTACTGGATCTTTGATTAACTCGGATTTATGCGACCTTCCCAAGGTCTGGTATTAGTTTGTTACATATTACATACATTTTGCGGAGCTGTTATTTAGGTGAATTTGCACTTTTGGAAGGAGTTTGTAGAGTCTGTTCGACTTTTGTTTGAGAATAGTTATCTTGAATTTGCACAATTAATCAGTTGTTTAGTCTCATCTACTTAACCGGCTCTTATGCGTTAAACCTAAACAGGTATGTTGTATTTGCTTAACAAAATATGAGGACAATGACCAACTGAGGGAATTGCCTTGCTCGCATTTCTTCCATACACAATGTGTAGATAAATGGCTGAAGATTAATGCGACTTGCCCCCTCTGTAAATCTGAAATTGACGCCAAGAACAGAGATCTACCTTCTGTAGAAGAGGAACCCCTCCAACAATCCTAAGGTGATGCAGAAACCACCTTCTTATGGTCGAAACAGAGATCATTGCGGCTAGCTTGTTGCATGGGGAGCCAGGAGAGTATATCCCAACTGACTGTTACTTCTTCTGCTGCTGCTACTGCTACTGCTACTGCTGTTTTTACCACATGAATTTCACTTTGTATAGTTGTAGTTCATACCAAGAATCCATAACAAGCTTGAAAGAAGAGGTAATTCCATTGTTGATACTCTCATTTCATGCCTCACCAGCTATGTTACTTAGAACTTCCAAAAAAATGTTAGTTGCACTCGTGTTGGATCTTCAAAAAAATGCATAGCTTTTGGAAGATCTAAACCGAGTGATATTTTTGAAGTGTCCATCATCTAAGCAGACATAGCACACCAATTACTTCTCTCCCTCTCTCTCTCTCTCTGTATAAATACATTTAAGGGTAAGGCTGCGTACACACCATTCTCCTCAGACGTTGCTTTTGAGATTACACTAGAGATGCTTGTTATCACAAATTTTAGTTTCTACTTTGTTATAAACTTTTTTCTTCTTCTTATAACAGTAAACAGCTGTCATTATTAACAGTAGTTTCTTTGTGAAATTATCTCTTTATAATAATAACCTTATGCAAATATCCATCTATGTATTTATTATTTATAACAACCAAAAAGCAATTAGTCAACTGAATTATATTTTGTTATAAACATAACTTTAGCACTTGAAACATAAAAAGACTATTGTGAACCAGGAATCTGAGAAATTAAAAATGTACATAAAAAGTTGAAAAATAGTAATTTGGGGTTGGATTTTTTTTCTTTCTATAACAGTCAAATAAGATTTAAAAATGTTGTTGTATTAGTAAAATTGTGTTGAAAATTTTATTTGGTGTTCCAACTAATTTAAATTAGCACTGGTTAACGCCTATTGAAGGGGAAAATGCCCCCTACAATGATTTTTTTTTGCATTTTGAAAGATCTAACTCGAAATAGGAGGAATCTTATCCATCCCGTCACCTATATTGTCACGAATAGACGCACTCTCTTCTATTCACAACTGAATTTGTCACTCTGGAATTCATGGAATAGGAAAATTGCAATGCCATGTTTTATTGTTGTGGATATCATTTCATTTTAATATTAATAAACACTATTGGCTTTATTATCACTCTCCAATATTAATATTAACAGAAGCGTACGCAAAATTTGTATATAGACTTATTATCGCAATTCTATTTGTATATGAATTCAAATTCAGAGTTTGAATAAGTTCTATAACTTTACTTCTTGTCCTAAATTGATGTTTACTTTGTATTATTTTCAAATGATATTTATTGATTTATTAGAGTACCAAATAAGGTTTCAAATTAAGTGAGTTAATATATTTGATGTTCACTTAATTATCAACTCTTTTCACGGTAAGTCGCTTGGCTTTTGAGAGCCGTAGTTATGCAGATTAAGAGTCTGGCACATAGAAATTTACGTTGGAATTGTAAACTAAGAGATTGTTGTATTTATTTTTTTTGATTGTTTTTAAAGTTGGGAAGACAATAATATGATTTTGATGGAGAACAAAGAGGTTATGAAAACTTAAAAAAAAAAAACAAAAAAAAACAGAGAGGTTGATATTATTGATATGCGGGAAGAAGAGGCTGAAATTGAGAAATTAAAAAAAGAAAAGAAGAACACTTTGCGCCAGGGGAGCATACCTTAGGGAGGAACGGGAGCCCGGACGGTGGAAGAGCTAGGGGAGGCCGGGTCATTTGACGGAAATGGAAGGCGTGAAAGAATAGGGAGACAAAAAGAATAGTTTAGGAGAATAAGAGTAAAATAAAAGGGTCAATATTATATTTTTAGTGGGTCGGGTTAAGTGAGGCGGGTCACTTAAATGGTGTAAATGAAAGGATGACTATATAATTAGTTCTTAAAATTTTGGTTATAAATAAAAATTCTATATTAGTAATTTTAATGGGAAAAAAAAAGAAAATATGTTGAGTTTTAAAATAATCTTATAACATAATTGATAACAATCAACAACAAAAAAAATAACAATATATGCAAGAGCAATACATTAATCACATATTCATACTTGCCATTGATTCGGTTATAATTATAACCTATTCAAACAAATTGTTCTTTTTTCTCAATTTTATCACTCAAATTAGAACTCAAACTTTTTCGGAGGAGGTACTAACAAATGAAATTAATAAATAATGAGTATTTTTTATAAAATATAAAATCTTGGGGTAATTTTTGAATTTTTTAAAATTCCCAAATATTTGAACTTGGCCCAAATAACTTTTTCTTTAGTCTAGTATTTGGAAATTTAGGGATACTTTTTTTTGTATATGACCAAACAGCACTTCCCAAGTTTTTCCCAAGTATTCTTGGAGTCAAACGGGTCCTAAAAGTGAAGACAAACCATTTACTTGTTGTCAAGCTTATAAAAGAACATCGACATACAATATCACCCTCTTAGAATCATTATTAAATTAGAGTGTTGATTTTCTAGCGAATAAAGGCCACAAACATAATTTTCTTTTTAGCTAATATGAAAAAGACATGCTGAAAAAAATGAAGTTTATTTATACTAAAAAGAAGAAGACAATAAATCTATTAAAAATCAAAGCTACAAAATTTATTCTAACAAACAAATGGAAGAAAGGTAGAAAAACACTAAAAAAGAAATTAAAACTATTTCTTTTCCTATTATTGTAAATAAAATACTACTCCTAAATAATGAATTTCTTTGTAGACTAAGCAATTTCCAAATCTTCTCTTTTTGCCTGACTTGAAGAATTTAGTGAAAAACTGCAATTTTCAATTGCTTCTTCAATTGTTAAAAACACTGATTCTTTCCCAAGCAAATCAATAAATTTTGTTGCAATTAATTTTTCCATCACCCCTAATCTTGGATTAATCAATATAATCTACACACAAAAAAGAAGTATATTAGAAAGTTAGTGAATCTCAAACACTATATATACACCTGTTACGTTTCGCTTTATGAGAGTCAATCTGTTAAAATTTAATTATACGAGAAATACTATAAGTTAGTAATCCTTTTCGTATTATATGATGAAAAAAATACTTAAAAATCTTGGTGAAAGTTTAATTTGTAGTTTGACTCTCGAGAAGCGAACGTGAAAAGAGGAAGTAAATAATGAGAAAAGTGTATATAATTATACATACCTTGATGGATTTTGCTGCTAAGCATCTACGAAGTTCTTTTAAAGTTTCAACACCAGTAATGTCAATTGATGTAACACCTACAATATTGTCATTGAAATTTTCTTTGCTTTAGTAACATATTGAAAAGCAAATAAATTAATTTTGGAAGACCTTTTATTAAATTTTTCTTTTAAATAACTAATTTTATTGAGTCGTCCTTGCGTTTTTATTTGTGAATTTTAAGGGCATAAATCATACCTCCAAAATCAAGTAACAAGTATTCAATCTCATTTCTTTGAGAATTTTCAAGAGATTGCTCATCTCTAACCCATCTTAGAATCCTGTTCAATATATTCATCAAAAATAACATCTTACCATTAGTTCAATATATAGCAATTTTCACTACAACAACAAAACAATATCCAGACAAATGACGTTATTACAGAGAGATTTCTTTACCTTTCTCTTACATAATTGCTATTTGGGAAGTAAATTGGAGAACCAAGTTTCAAAATCAACATTCCTGGAGTTTCATTAGAACCAGGATATTGTTCTATGTCACGAAATGCTGTATTTGTTATAGTTCCAAGTTTGCATGTTGGTGGCCTAGCAACATATAGAAGTGCCCTTATCAAGGCAAGTCCAACCTACAAAAAATAAAAAATATTGAGTACGCGTAAGTTTTTACCATGTTTAGTATAGTATGATAGAAGGTCACAAGTCACGACAATGACTATTTTTCAATTAGACGGACTAAAAATGGTTATTTATGATGAAAATGACTTTCGTCATATCAATCAGATTCCACACAAGATACTTAGTGTAATTTCACGACTAGGATCTGAATCAAATTCCAAATAATAATATTTTTTGATTACGTACCGAGAGGATGAGTCCCATGTCCATGCTAATGAAGGCAACACCAAAGAAAGCAACCATACAAATCAAGAAATCAAATTTGTCAGTCTTGTAAAGGTGAACAGCTTTTTCATAGTCCATTAACCCAATCATAGCTGACATAATGATAGCAGCCAAAGCAACAAGTGGTGTGTAGCCAAAAAGTGGTGCCAAAAATAATAAAGTTAGCAACATGCACAATGACATAACTACATTTGACATTTGGCTCTTGCATCCAGCATTGTAGTTCACTGCTGTTTTTGAAAATGGCCCTAATAAAAAAATATGAAAAAAATCATTAGTACATGTTTACGTTATACTGTCAGTGTATAAAAGTTAAAAGAAATTACCTGTACTTAAGTAGCAAGAAGTTAAAGAGCCAACAATATTCATGAGTCCAATGGCTACCATCTCTTTGTTACCATCAATTTGTTCATTATCCATGATAGCAAAACTCCTCCCAATAGCTATCCCTTCCTATAAATATTACAAAAAAAATTTGAATAACATCAACAATATACTCGATGTGATATTCTCACACGTAAAATCTAGAGAGGATAGTGTATATATATGCATACTAATGTTGTTTTCGATTGAGCAATTTGGAAAGAGAAAATAAAAAGTGCATAAATAACAGTAACAATGATAAAATAATATGATAACGAAGCACAAGAAATAACAGAATTAATCGAAGAATAAAAACTACGAGAGTAATTAAAATGTACTTACTGCTATTGCAATCATAGCTGTAATGATCCCAGCTTTTACAACAGCAGGTAGATATTCTGGACTAAAATTTATAAGATGAATGGAGGATGGATTAATTCCTTTATTTAATTTTCCCACCTGCATTGAGTTAAAAAAAAAGAAATTATTTTTTAAAAATCAAATATAAGAAAACATATGGTAAAAAAGATATAAGTTTTTAACTTGAAATGACTCATCAAACTCGAGTTAGAATAGGTCAAAATAGTGTAAGCTGACAAATTATTTTATAATTCATTCCACATGAAAAATGGTCTAACTAGGGAACTCTTCATTTGACACTTTCTCATAAGATTATTTTCACGAATTTGATCATATTTAATAAAAATATCCAAAATAAAATTATAAAAAAAAGAAAAAAGAGGGCAATTTAACTTACAATAGCTATGCCATGTTTCTCAGCATTGAAAAAATATGCAAAAAGGCAGCCAACTACAACAACAAGTATTGGAGAAATGGCTGAAACCCAAAATAGATTTGGTTTCTTCTTTCTCTGCAAATTAAAAAAAAAAAGTTAATTTAAATAAAAAAATTTACACTGTCAATGTATATAAATTAAAATATTGTATAAAAATAACTTACCACATATCTAGATAATTGTAGGAAAGCAAGGAAGATTACTCCAACAACTGCACACTGCCATGTCCACTGATTTTTTTTTTTTTTTTATATATAAATAGAACGAAAAAAAATATCAAGTTAGTATCTTTGTGTGATATATAGGTCACGAGCTCGAACCATAAAAATAACCATTTATGTTTGCATTAGGGTACTGTCTAATCACACCCCTTGAAGTGCAGTCG